AATTTGCAAACACGATTCTGGCATGATGGATTTGCAACATTTTAATGTATGCATATGGCATATGCTTTGAAGCAAGCTTGCTTGGCTCAAAAAAAACGGGGGGGTTGGGGGGGGGGGAGCCCCCCCATTTGCAAACACGATGCTCGCATGATGGGTTGCCGAAAATGTATGCATATGCGTTGAAGCAAGCTTGCGCGGCTAAAAATAAAGCAGGGTTGGGGAGCCCCCCCCCCCCCGCATTTTGCAAACACGACTTTCGCATGATGGATTTCCAACAATGTATGCACATGCTTTGAAACAAACTCGTGCGTACTCGTGCGTAATCGTGCGTACTCGTGCGTACTCGTGCGTAGTCGGGGGTACTCGGGCGTACTCGAGCGTACTCGGGCGTACTCGGGCGTACTCGGCGTACTCGGGCGTACTCGGGCGTACTCGGGCGTACTCGTGCGTACTCGTGCGTACTCGTGCGTACTCGTGCGTACTCGTGCGTACTCGGGCGTACTCGTGCGTACTCGTGCGTACTCGGGCGTACTCGTGCGTACTCGGGCGTACTCGTGCGTACTCGTGCGTACTCGTGCCTACTCGGGCGTACTCGGGCGTACTCGGGCGTACTCGTGCGTACTCGGGCGTACTCGTGCATACTCGGGCGTACTCGTGCGTACTCGGGCGTACTCGTGCGTACTCGGGCGTACTCGTGCGTACTCGGGCGTACTCGTGCGTACTCCGACGCGGTCGCCCATCCCTGCCGCAATGGAGAAATTGCCACTTCCACGACCTCTCTTCCAGATGCAAAAATGTTAAGAACATGAACTTTTCATGTGTCGGCTGAGATCAGGTGTGTTTTTTGTCGGTTCGTGTTGGATTGAATGTTGCCCAATGCAGATGTGGGTGTGGTGTAGGTTTTGTTGGTGTGAGATGGGTTTGTGTGGCTGTTCGAGAATGGAAGGTGCTGGCTGGCTGGTAAGTACGGTTTCGGCGTGTGATATTCCGGCACAAACGCTTTTAAACACAAAACCCTTTTCAAAAATATGACAACAAGATGTCCGCTTTTTGCACACCAAAACGAACAGGAGATCTTGTCATCTTTTCTTTGAAGAGAAGCTCTGTCGCAGCTCCTGAATGTGACATATTTTTCGAGTCCGATTCTTGGAAAGAAGCTGTTTGAAGTGAGATCTTGGGCAGCCTTGTCATCATAGTCCAATTCCAACCGCTCGTGAAAGCAGAGGGCTAGTAGTGGTCAGCGAAAGAGCTGCACTTGGCACGTCCATGATTTGAAAGGTGGGCATCTGCGAGTGCGCACCGGCAAGAACCGAGTTCCAATCAGACGGGCGAAAAAATTATGTGCAAGCAAACGACAAGCGTTAAAGCTGCAAGATAGACTTCTTACGTTTTGCGGAAGGGGGCTTCAGGCGCTTGATGGAGCTCCAGGGGGGGGTTAATGTCTTCCCTAACGATTACCGGAGGTCCTTGCACGTTGTGTTTGTGAAGCACGCACCTCAACCCCTGTGGATTGAAGTGCAACGACGGTGTGAGTGAAGTCGGGGTCCCTGCCCGGTTCGTGTTTCATGTTGGGGATACATATTGTCTGTGTTTAGCGATTGGATGATTGGGTTTGCAACTCGATAGTTTTTGTTGAGCCTTTGAAAGCGGTGTTTGGATTGGGCTGGTCGGCATGATACCATGTTGCCAAATGCGTGTACATCCGCCACAGTTGTTCAAAAAAAAGACAGCTTTTGGCATTACACAAACCCCTGCTGTTGCACCGTTGCGAGATGTGTTCCATGATGTCGCTGTGCAATCAAGTTTTGCAGAGCATCAATTTTGCAGCAACGCGCGACTGACCTGATGTTGCGGCCTGGGGTCATTGAGAACCCTCGGTTGTTTTATGAAAGGCCGGCCATGTTCAATAAACATATGCCCGATGTCCCGGAAACATGTGCATGTCCGATCACTGGACATTGTGCAAATGTTGTTTGGTGTTGTGTCCTTTTTCGGAAGCTGCAGGCATGATCCCTTCATGGAAGCCCAGCAGTTGCTGCAGGATGGCCGCGCTGAGTTAACTTGGATGTGACGTGCGGTTGGAAACGGATGCGCAGTTGATGCTGAACCGTAGTTGCATTTGGGTTTCATTCTTGGTACCCTAAACCCTAAACCCTAAACCCTAAACCCTAAACCCTAAACCCTAAACCCGAAACCCGAAACCCGAAACCCTAAACCCTAAACCCTAAACCCTAAACCTTAAGCCCTAAACCCTAAACCCTAAACCCTAAACCCTAATGCCTTTAAACCCTAAACCCTAAACCCTAAACCCTAAACCTAAACCCTAAACCCTAAACCCTAAACCCTAACCCGAAACCCTAAACCCTAAACCTTAAACCCTAAACCCTAAAGCCTAAACCCTAAACCCTAAACTCAAAGCTGTGCACAGCATCTGATAGTTGTGCAATTGGTTCAGGAGCACCGCAGCGCTGCACAACAGCGCCGAGTTCGGGATGCAACGGCAAGTTCAGTTTTAATGATTGATTCAGGCAGCCCACAGCACGATTGGCCGTGCCTACGGTTGTTTCAATCTGTTGCAAGTTTGTGTATGTCCATATGTGTGCAAGCGTCGGCAGACTGCAACGACACGATGGTCAACCATGTTCTCGATGGACAAGGCTGGAAAACAAACTCATCTCCCCACTTCAAAGTGCATTTGCCTCCCCCCACAGCTCGAACTGCCTTATTTTGCCTTGACTGTGATACAAATGAGTCTTAAGCAAACCTATGGCAGATCTGGACACATGACTGTGCCACCGATCCCTTCATGGTAGATTCAGCAACATGCCAGTGAGTTGTAGCATATTGTACCATGTTCAGGGCATGATGTTGAAAGCTGGCCGGTCATGCCAGGCAGACGTCAGGCAGAGGACAGCATCGATGCCTCAGGGAAGTTCCATGCGGAGGCTAAAATTCTGCCAACTGTGCTAAGTGCATGCATGCCGTCATGCAAACATACAGGTCTTCATTCTTTGTTGCGTGCGTCGCCTCGTGGAGATAAGATGGATCCAAATGAATCTGTGCACTATGTGCAAGTAAGGTTGTTCACTCCATTCTATCGGGTCTTTAGGTTCGACAAGCATGTTTCGACAGGTTTTATTGTCTTAGGGGGACTTGGAAATCATTTCTAATTTTTGGGCACTATAATTCCCAAGAAACAGCATTTTTGCCAGGGCCGCTAGGGTTCAGCATTGTGCGTGTTGCATCAGGCAGGTCTTCTTTCCGCTCGAAGGAGGCGGGTGGCTTCGAGTGGCGATACAATCGTTGGAGATGTTTGCTTTTTGAAGCCTTAAACCCTGAAACCCTGAAACCCTGAAACCCTGAAACCCTGAAACCTGAAACCTGAAACCCTAAACCCTAAACCCTAAACCCTAAACCCTAAACCCTGAACCCTAAACCTGAAAACCCGAGCGTTGCCGCGCTTCTGCCTGCCAGGGCTGGGGTCACACCCCGTCGCTCCGGTGCAGCTCCTCGGCCTTTCTTTGACATCCTTCTTCAGAGGGGTTTGGGGGGTTTAGGGTTTAGGGTTTAGGGTTTAGGGTTCAGGGTAATCCACGAAAGTTTCGTCTTTGGTCGAGCCGGTCGATCATGGGCACGCACATGCTTTGCTCGGAGAATTTAAGCTGATATACTGAATTGACTGTGGTAGGACTTCGACTACAGTACTGTCTACTCGTAGCTCAGCCAAAGCTTCCTGGTTCTCAGGCGAGGGCCGCGGCAGAGATCAGGCCGGCGGGCTCTTTTGATCAAGCACGGGTGTCACGCAACATTTTGCAGTGAACGTGTTGCCGGAATTCGGTTGGGTGCAGTTCTTATACATTCGCCGGCAGAAGCTGTGTGAGAGCGTGTCTTCCTTCATGATGGCTCAGTGGTTGAGTTGGGCCACCTGCGCACTCACCAGGTTTCGCAAAGTAGGGGCCGAGAAGACCACGGACTTCAGCCGCAAGAATGTTCTCCTGAAAGAACAGACACTTGACTCCAAGCAGCCAATGTTCACAGTACGTATGCAATGTTCGGTATACAAGCAAGTCGTTGCTCTGAGTCCTTTTTTGCAGTCCTTGTTCATGGTCGGCTTTGGACGTTTGGCCTCCGTCCTTGCAGTTGTCTGCCGCGGTTGCTCGAACTAATGGTGCCGAAAAATTCCCAGGTTACGGCACGAGTGCCGCCTCCCCCCTGCGGCAACGTGGGCTGGTGAACAGACGGAGCTCATGCGGCAGAGGTGTGGCAGCTTTGTGAGAACATGGCAAGACGTGCTTTGCAGTCCTGCCGAGTCTTGCCAGGTTCAACAAGCAGGCCACCATTCGGCATGAGCTTGGTGATGGGAGGACCTTGCCACATGAGAGGGGGAATGATTGACACCCTTCCTAAGCATCTTGCTTAGGCACCTTGTCTGGCTGTCTGCTGATACTTCGCAGGTATCCAGTAGTGCTAGCATTGTGCCTTCGTGTTTCTGGGCACAGGTTTTTTCGGTTTCACGCTCGCCGAAGACCCATACCTCCCAAATGCGAGGCATGAGATTCAAAATGTTTTTTTTTTTTGTATGCTTCATTGCCTGAGTATCTTCGAGTAGCCCCAAGGCAGTTGAAAGTAGGCTTTGATATCTGGGATTGTAAGTTGGACAGACATGACCGTAGCAGAAGTGGCACCTTGGCAGCTCCTGTTAGAGGTCTTGACTCATGCGCTTTGCTTTTGTCGGCTCAACCCTTTAAGTAGCCATTCGCTTTGTGCAAACATGGAACATGTCGACTTGTGTTTGTTCCTTTGCAGGTTCCACTAGCAGACATTCTCTCAGCAGACACTCTCAGAGATGAGCACCGAAGCAAACATGCTGGGTGACCGACTAGAATGCTGAGTGTATGTTGCTACTTCCTCTAAGGAGGGTCTCGCAGCTCAAACCACGTGTGTTCTGTTTTTCTTCCTATGAAGGGGAGAGGCGCTGAAAGGATGGCGGTGTGCCATCCATGAAGGCAGGGAAGCGAGGCCCGTTCAGAGTACCTTTGTGCCTTCATTGGGAGGGGTACCTTGTTCTCCATGTTGCTCCCATGCTGTGCCACATTGCTCCACGGCAGGCGTGCAGCGACAGACTGGTCTCCTTTTTGGAGGCCTTGCTGACTTTGAGTGTACTGTGGCATGCCTGGGGTTCTCATGCCAGGCGAGCGCCTCGTGGAAGATGTTGTTCCGACCGTGTGCTTCGACCTCTCCGAGTCCCAGGCGCAGCAGGGGCCCGGGCGCGGCGCGTAGGGAGCAGGTACAAGCTTATGCTGGGTTTGTATGCTCTTTCTCCTGATTGCCCCAAAGCCCACAGCTGTGTGTGTTTTCTTGCCGTGAGAAGTGATTGCTCAAGTTATCGCATCTCACAGGTAAATACGGTGCATCTGGGTGAAGGTACATTGGTGTAGGAGATGTCTCACTACAATACAATGAACAGTTGCGACACCCGAAGTGCCAAAAGCTAGCCAGATCCAGGACGCCGCATCCGTTGCTGGACGTGTTTTACCTGATTTCCCGGTTCTTCGATTCTTATGTTTGCCGGCCGAAGGTGCTGAAAATATGAATTTTTGAAGATGTGGAGGGTCTGAACTCCAAAGCAATAAGAAGCAGCTAAACACAAACTCAGCTGGATGCCACACAACAACATCAAACGACCACACGTTGCAGGAGATGGCTGATGGGTTCACAGAGAAGGCAGGCAAGAAGCGGGCTTGACGCACCAAAACTCCAAGATTCAAAGCAGAACAAACTGAGAGCTGAAGCCAAGCACGCTGCACTACATTTATATGGCCCTGTTTGGCTGCTATTGGTGCACGCTTAATAAAATATGAACTCGCAAGATGGAAATGGTGGAGGACGAGCTGATGGCTGACTTTGGATGCTGAAGAAGCAAAGTCCCATGTTTCTCTGCAGAGCCTAAGCCCTAAACCCTAAACCCTAAACCCTAAACCTTAAACCCTAAACCCTAAAACCTAAACCCTAAACCCTAAACCCTAAACCCTAGAGAAACATGGGACTTTCCTCCCAGCATCCAAAGTCAGCTATCAGCTCGTGCTCTTTGCACTTGGCGAAGAGCTGTACAAACTACCGCGGAAGTTTGAATGAATCGGCTGAGAGGAGTGCGAACTTCCTGGCACCTCAGTTAGCACCACGCCAGAGACCCAGCCAATCCCAGCTTTTCTTCAAAGGAACGTGGGGCCCGCTTGTGCCGTGCCTTTTCCCGTCAAGATCGTTCCTGATGCAGTCTTCCATGTCTCCATCCGAACAGAATCAGTTCAGCCTTGTTGTTTCTCGCTTCGATAAACATGTTCCACGGTCCAAGGTCTCATGGCTCAGATGCGCGGAGGCGTTTCAAGCTTTGCCTGGGCGTGGCCTTAACATGCCGAATCATGCCGAGCTGTCAGAAACAGGCTTGCTGGCAATGCGAGTACCTTGACTCCGCCGACTGTGGCTGAGCACTATGGCAAGTGCCTCAGTTGCTGGTTCCTGAAGGGAGGGCCAGCCTCATGCATACGACGGTTCTTTGAGTGTATTTGATCGGGGTTTGCAGACTTTCGCGATCGTCGGATTGTTTCCAAGTTTGAGTTAGCTTTTGTGTGTAGAACGTGCAAGTGACAGCATCTCCACGATTTCATACTGTCGTTTGCAGGAGCTCTGCTGCAACGTGAGGAGGAAGCTCGCATCAGGGTGGAGGCTCCCGAACTGCATCCGCTGAAGTGCAGCGTTGCAACATGTGGCCACTGCATGCAGCGTACCCGTTCAGTATACCAGTGTACCCTACACAACCCTGCTAGCCTTTTTAAGTGCTCTGTGCTGCTTGAGAGGAGAAGCTCCGCTTGGCTGAGGAGCGACTTCGCTGCTGCTTGGTACTTTATTTGGGAGTTCTTGCTGGCGGGGTCGAGCACTCTTGCAGGCGAAGGGATGCGTTACTCATGTAGTTCTGGATATCTCTGGATGTTCCAGACTGCCAACTTGGCGAGCAGCTGTACTGGCAAGTTTGGCCTTGTATTTAGTGCCTTGAGCTTCGAGCTTCAACGGCTCCCGATCCCGTCATCGAGATCAGTTTGCTGCACTTTGCCGTGCTGATTCTGATCACACTTATGTGCCTGCGTCTGTTTCAGTGTAACAAGCTTAGAGATGATGCCTTCAGCCCAGGTTGTCGAGATGAGATGAGGAAGAGGGAGCAGTACTTTGATGAGGCCGCATCCATTTCCCACGCAAATTTTTTGCGGCAGACCTGTCACTTGTGCCCGCCTAACCCGTGTCACTTGTGCCCGCGTATGTGCCTGAAATCACAGCAGGGCCACACTTTGGGCCACCTGCGGCGAAAGCGCAGACCTGTCACTTCTGCCCGCCTTTTGGTTTTAAAGTATGGCAGAGCCAGAGGATGAGGCGTTTGTCGTTTCAAAAGTCGTGTCCCTGCCACATCCGGCAGCCTCTCTGCCCCTGCCGCCTGTCCAGCCCATTCAAGTAGACGTAGTTGTGATGCATTGGAAGTACCCTTTGCTGGGCTGGGCGTGCAGGGCACATGAATCAACACGGCCAACAGCATGCGTTTTTATGCCCCCCCCCTCCCAGCCCCGCACAAACCATGAAACCCGAACACTGAACCTTAGAAGGCCGTTGCCAAAATGTCCCCCTCCCCCCTCCCCTCCCCCCTCCCCTCCCCACTCCCCCCCCCCCCCCCCCCCTCCCCCCTTCCCCCCCCCTCCCCCCCCTCCCCCCCCCTCCCCCCCCCCCCCTCCCCCCCCTCCCCCCCCCCGTAAGATGGACACTTAAAGGCTATGCTGCACGTGCGTGCCTTGTAAACAAATACTTTACAAAGGAAACGCCCGCAGAATAGACGCAACGCACCCGCAGAATAGACGCAATGCACCCTGCATCAGCACGCACTGTGTCCTGGGCGGGGGCGCGGAGGGCGCGGAGGGCGCGGAGGGCGGAGGCGTGGAGGCGCGGAGGGCGCGGAGGGCGCGGAGGGCGCGGAGGGCGCGGAGGGCGCGGAGGGCGCGGAGGGCGCGGAGGGCGCGGAGGGCGCGGAGGGCGTGGAGGGCGCGGAGGGGCGGAGGGTGCGGAGGGCGCGGAGGAGGCGGAGGGCGCGGAGGGCGCGGAGGGCGTGAGGGCGCGGAGGGCGCGGGAGGGCGCGGAGGGCGCGGAGGGGGGAGGGCGCGGAGGTCGCGGAGGGCGCGGAGGGCGCGGAGGGCGCGGAGGGCGCGGGAGGGCGCGGAGGGCGCGGGGGAGGGGCGCGGAGGGCGCGGATGGCGGAGGCGCGGAGGGCGGAGGCGCGGAGGGCGGGAGGAGGGCGCGGAGGCGCGGAGGGCGCGGAGGGCGCGGAGCGCGCGGAGCGCGCGGGGCGCGGGGGGCGCGGGGGCGCGGCGGAGGGCGCGGAGGGCGCGAGGGCGCGCGGGTGGAGGGCCGCGGAGCGCGCGCAGGGCGCGGAGGGCGCGGAGGGCGCAGGAGCGCGGAGGGCGCGGAGGGCGCGGGAGGGCGCGAAGTGTGCGGAGGGCGGAAGGGCGCGCGGAGGGCGCGGAGGGCGCGGATGCGGAGGGCGCGGAGGGCGCGAAGCGTGCAGAGGGCGGAAGGGCGCGGAGGGCGTGGAGGGCGCGGGCTTGCAAACGCGGAGGGCGCGGAGGGCGCGGAGGGGCATCCACGTGTCCCCATATCCCCTGCCCATCAACCGAATGTCACTCTCCCCTTCCGCGCCGAACCCGTCCGTCAACCTCCATGCATATTGGTCCACGCCTCCCCACACCACGCCCCTCTCCAGGAAAATTTTCCGAACCCCCTCCCTTGACCGTGTCGTCTCCGCGGTCCGCGGCCTCCCGTCAAAGTTCATTCCGTCCGACCCTCCAAGAAGCGATCCGATAGAACGCCTTCCGCATTGAAGCGCCAAACGAGAAAACCCAATTTCAGAATTGGTTTCGGGAAAAATCCAAGAAAACAAAGAGCACGCGCAGAATAGACGTTAAGCGTCCAAGGCACCCCCCTCCCCCCCCCTCCCCACCCCCCCCTCCCCTCCCTCCCCCTCCCTCCCCCCTGCCCCTCCCCTCCCCCCCCCTCCTCCCCCCTCCTCCCCCTCCCCCTCCCCTCCCCCTTCCACCCCCCCTCCCCCCCCCCCCCTCCCCCCTCCCCTCCCACCCCCTCCCCCCCCGTGGGTGGCTTAAATAGGGTCTATTTGGAAGCTGGGACTCGAGTTTTCTTATAGCCATACACGTTTCCACGAGGGTACGCTGCTGTCACGTCAGTCGTACTATGGAGGCCTCAGGAACAAGAACCAGGTAGTTCCTCTTTTCTCTTCTCTTTTTCTCCTCAATCCTAAAGTCGAAGGCTCTCGTGAGGAGAAGAGAAGGGAGAGAAGGAGGGAAAGATAAGAGGAACACGATTTTCATGGGAAGAGCCAAGAAAAGAATAGAAGAGAGATAAAACAAGGCGCAAAGAAGATGGTACTCTTCTTTATCTATCCTCTCTCCCTTATCTCTCCGTTCCCTCTGTCTTTTCGAAATGAGAAAAACAAAAAGAAAGATGAAAAGAAGAAGGGTTAGGAAAAGAGCCGAAGAGATAGGCCGAAAAGAGGGGTATGGTGAAGTACGGCAAAGGTCCACGCACAAGGAGTCACCTTCTGCTTACCCTTCCACTGCTTGATTTTACAAGCTCCTTTCTTGTGTTTTATCAGTTAAAATTAAAAGGAAACAGAAGGAGAGAAGGGAAAGGGAAGTGAGAGAGGAGAGACAACAAGGAGGCCATTTTAATTTCCTGTGAGTTATCAAAAGGAATGCAATATTATGGGAAGAGCAATGGAAAAAAAGAGTGGAAGAGAAATTAAGACAGGAGAGGGAGGTGCAAAAATAAGGCAAAGAGAAGATGGTGCCGTTTTCATCTCACCTCTCGTTCTTATCTTCCTCTTCTCTGGTTCTTTTCCCTGTGAAATAAAAAAACAAAAGGAAGGACAATGAACATATAAAGGAACCCGTTTTCGTTTTCCGTTTGGGCACAAGGAAAAAAACAGAGGCGATAGGGCGAGAGGAGGGGTTTGCTGAAGCATGGGGAGGGTGTACGGGCAAGGGGCCAACTCCGCCCACTTCCCCCATCCATTGAAAGAGGAAAAGGAACAGGGCCTCCATTCCCCTCTTATTCTTCCTTTCTTGCGTTTTTGTCGTTTAGAAGGGAACAGGAGAAGAGGAGGGAGAGAGAAGGAGAGAGGAGACATAAAAAGGGTTGCATTTTTAATGGGAAGAGCAAAGAAAAGACCAGAAGAGAGATGATGGGAGAAGAGGGGGAGACAAAACAAGGCGCACAGAAAATGGGCAGATAAGAAGAGAGGAAAGGGAATGACCAAGTACAATGAGGAGTTCTTCAATTTCCCTCCCTATCTCTTATGTTACTTTTCCTTCTTGTGGGGTGTCCCTTTTTCTCTTGAAGATGCAGAAAACGATTGAAAAGGACACCCGTTCCATCGCCCATATGTAGGGAAAAAGAGAGAGAATCATGAGCATCAGCTGGGCTTGCTGCCAATCCAACATGGGCGTCCCTTTTAATCGCATTCTGTTTTTTCTCGCTTGAAGATGCAGAAAACGATCCAAAAGCACATCTGTTGGAGGAAGAGAGAAGGAGAGAGGAGAGATACCAAGGATTGCATATTTAATGGGAAGAGCAAGGAAGAGAATAGAAGACAGATGAATAGAGAAGAGGGAGAGACAAAACAAGGCGCAGAGAAGATGGCACTCTTCTTTATCTATTCTCTCTCCCTTGTTTCTCCCTTCCCTCTTTCTTTTCGAAATGAGAAAAACAAAAAGGAAGAACTATGAGAAGGAGAAGAGTAAGGAAAGGAACAGAAGAGATAGGCCGAGAGGATGAATATGATGGAGTATTATGGAAAGGCTCACGCGCAAGGAGTCACCCTCTGCTTACCTTTTCACTGCTTTATCATATGAGTTCCTTTCTTGTGTTTTATCAGTTAAAAGGAAGCGGAAGAAGAGAAGGGAAAGGGAAGTGAGAGAGGAAAGATAACAAGGATGCTATGTTTCCCGAAGCGTGCTGCAAGGAATAGAAGAGACAGGAAGCAAGGAGACGGAATCACAAAATAAGGCGCAAAGCTGTACATATCATCTCCCCCTTGTCTCTCCCTATTCCCTTTCGAACTAGAAAAAAACCATTCTTGCTTTTCACAGATAGGTTCCCTCTCTCCTCTTCAGGAAATCCCCTTTCCCTTATGTTGCTTTTTGAAGCGAATAAGAAAAATAGCAGATAAGAAGAGAGGAAAGGGTCAATTTCCCTCCCTATCTCTTATGTTGCTTTTCCTTCTTGTGGGGTGTCCCTGTTTCTCTTGAAGATGCAGAAAACGATTGAAAAGGACACCCGTTCCATCGCCCATATGTAGGGAAAAAGAGAGAGAATCATGAGCATCAGCTGGGCTTGCTGCCAATCCAACATGGGCGGCCCTTTTAATCGCATTCTGTGTCCTTTTTTCTCGCTTGAAGATGCAGAAAACGATCCAAAAGCACATCTGTTGGAGGAAGAGAGAAGGAGAGAGGAGAGATACCAAGGATTGCATATGTAATGGGAAGAGCAAGGAAGAGAATAGAAGACAGATGAATAGAGAAGAGGGAGAGACAAAACAAGGCGCAGAGAAGATGGCACTCTTCTTTATCTATTCTCTCTCCCTTGTTTCTCCCTTCCCTCTTTCTTTTCGAAATGAGGAAAACAAAAAGGAAGAACTATGAGAAGGAGAAGAGTAAGGAAAGGAACAGAAGAGATAGGCCGAGAGGATGAATATGATGGAGTATTATGGAAAGGCTCACGCGCAAGGAGTCACCCTCTGCTTACCTTTCCACTGCTTTATCATATGAGTTCCTTTCTTGTGTTTTATCAGCAGAAGAGAAGGGAAAAGCAAAAATTGAGCCCAACATTTTCGGACCAGGGCTTGCGATCTGACTCTTTGGAGCAAAAATCGATTCCAAAATCTTAGGGACCAGGGCTTGCGATGTTACTCTTTGGAGCAAGAAATGAGCCCAAAATCTTAAAGACCGGGGCTTGCGATTTCACCTTTTGGAGCAAATACTGGGCCCAAAATCTTAGGGACCAGGGCTTGCAATTTGACTCCGTGGAGCACAAATCGACCCCGAAATCTTAGGGACCAGGACTTGCGATTTGACTCTGTGCAGCACAAATCGACCCCGACAACTTAGGGACCAGGGCTTGCGAT